GGGCGCGGATGCACCGCAGCAGCACCGAGCGCGCGCAAGTAAAGTCGACCTGCGCGGGCACATGAGGAGGATGAGAGGCGAGGGCGCGGGTGAACGAGGATGAAGGGGAGCGCGCGTACGCCGCACGCGTTCCACTTGCCCCGCGCAAGCAACACGCCGACCCGTTGTCGCGCGCGTTCGGCGAACGCGGGCGCGTGCGTCGAGGCCCAAGGCCGGAGGCTCCAATACATTTTCTCTCTCCACCTCCGTCCCCGCCTTCCTCGTCTTCATCCCCTTCATCCTCTCCGCACCGTCCCTTCGTACCCGCCGTCGTCGCCGCCTTCGCATTCACACCCACGCCCGCGCTGTCATTTGCACCCACCCTTCTCCTCCTTCCCTTCCTTCCCAGCGTCCGCATCGCGCATCCCTATCCCCGCCCACGCGCTCCTCTCCCTCCCCTTCCCTCTTTGTTCCCATCCCCGCCTTCGGATTTACACCCGCGCCCCCGTGCAGTTTCGAAACGAAGAGAGAGCGGCATTGGGAGCGAGCCCGGGTGCGCGTCGCGGGGCAGCGATGGTACCGGCGCGTGTCGCGAGACAGGGGGAGCGTGGGGACACCGCGAAGAAAGCGTGCGGCCGAGCACACGCACGAGAATGCACTAGCAATCTACTGTCGCATTCAAGTTGGCGATGCTATAGCTAAGTACTAGAAAATCTTTACTTGAAGTTCTGAGTTGCATTTCAAGTTTTCAACTTCCCGTGCGACCACCCAACAGGTTATTGAGTGCAGGGAAAGATCCTTCGACTCGAGAGCGGTCAATCAACCCCGTCAGCTCCCTTTTAATCAAACTTCCTCCTGCCAGTCCTGCCAGTGCCCGTTGATTTAATTGAGAAAATTTATGATGGGTCGATGGTAACTTCACTGCCATACAGGAAAGTGAAGCAATAGCTCCCAGGCTTTTATTTCTTGTCCTTTGAGTATGCCTTTTCAACTCGGCGCCGTTAGCAGGAGGTATATATGACGATTTGGAACTTATCATCACTCATGGGCATTTTGAAACACAGTAGTGTTACACGATACAGGCACAACAACGAATGTTACAATTTTAAAGACTTGGCTACTCATAATTCGTCAAAACGCGTCGAAAACGCGTCCTCGCAGATGCGCGTTTGACCACGTGATGGCATTCATCCCCATCAGGTCTCAAGCTCAAGCCAGCATCTTAGCGACCTTCTCCTCCAACGAGCTCACCGCCCCGGCCATAGGCACACCCAGGTTCTGGAGCACCGCCTCTACCCATGCCCGCACCTTGTCATACATCCCCATCCACGCATCCAGGTCTGCCTCCACGCCACGCGCACGCATCCGCATTCCAATCAATGTCATGGCCAGCACGCTTGCAAGGAGCTTATCCGGCTCTGGGGCGTCCTTGAGAAGCAGGCGGCGCACGTCGTCGATGGTGGTTTCCTTCTTGAATATGAGCTCCGTTACGGAGAGGACGTCCTGCGCTGCGGGGAAGGCGCCGTCGAAGGATTGCAGGCGGGCGAGCGGCTCGAGGAGATCTTCTACGGGGGTGGACTTCGATGGTGACTGCTGAAGCATGGATAACGACGGGCGCGATCTCAACGAGTCGATGGCGGGGCTCTGGTCGTTCCTCTGGGAGATTAATCACTCCGATGAGCAAGATGCGACCAAGAAAAAGAAAAAAGGAATCAAGAACACTCACCGCCACTGACGCCGACGCCAATCCCGTAACCACCGAGGAGAAAAAGCTCGACATAAAGCTCCAGCGAGGCTAGATGCGCCATCCGGGTTAATGCTGAACACCGATCCTGCACCGGGATACGCACGGATTTCTGGGCCACGGTCGCGCCTGAGAAGCTCTCGACGAGGGAGTCCAGCCGCTCCCCGCGCTCAGCGACCCTCAGGAGTCCTTGACTCACAGTCGTCCTTCCGCGCGCCCGGTCCATAGGCCGCGGCGGCGGCGAGAACATGTCGTAATCCTCCGATGCTTCGTCCTCATCATTTGACGAAAAGGATGCTGAGGAAAAGCCTAAGGACGCTGACGGGGCCGAGGGCGAGGCCCACGTGGCGACCGACTGAGCGGCCCGCTCGACGGACGGCGCCGGCGCCGGCTGCACGTTTGTAGGTGCCTCATCCACCGCCACGAACGACGTGTACGTCGAGGAAATTGAGTACGTCGTCCCCAGCCTCACGATACTAGCGCGCACGGTGCGCGCAAGGAGGTCCGCGTCCGCAGGATCGTCGAGGGTCGCAGTGAGCGCGGCCGCGTACTGTCCGTCCTCAAGATCCTGGATAATCTTACGCGCAGCGAGCGCGTGGAAGGCGGGCGTGCTGGGGAGGCGGCTCACTGTGACGGGAATGGGGAGTGAGATTGATGCGTCGTCGGGGGTGGAGCCGTGTAGGGTTACGGTCTGAGGGATACTGGAACGTCCTGCTGAGTGGGTGAGATTCGAATCGCGAAGTGGAAGGGATACAGTAACAAACCTTGGAGAATCGCATATGTATTGACACGAGTCCCAGGGAAGAGATTGAGAATCTTAAAGGGTGATTGCTGGACATCGGACGGAGGAGCAAGGATGACCTGGGGGGCAGGTGGTGGTCCCGTCTTGTCGAGGTGCGTCGGGTCGACGGCCTCGTCGAACATGCTGAGGGTCTTCTGCTTCTCCTTGCTCTTCGCCTTCTCCACCTTCTCTACGAGCTCGAAATCATCCTCCGATACGTACCCCTCGACGAGCGGACGCCCCCAATCGACGGTGATATTCGATATCACGGGCGTCCTCGCCGCCTTGAGCAGCCGCGCCACCTTCCCGGTGAACGTCGTCTCCTCCTCAGCCACCAGCATGCACGTCCCATGTCCCACGCGCGCAATCCCCTCACACATCGCCGTCGACACGGAATTCCCGATCCCCAGCACAGAGACACGCAGTGGCGCGCTCTCCGGTGCCGCCTTCACCGCGCCCCTCACCTCCGCAAGCCCCCCGTCCACATCATAGGCCTCCCCATCCGTCAACACGAGCACGCTCGTCGGCCGATCCCCAGCCCTGATCTCGAAGCATTTCCGCAACGCCGCCCGTATCTCAGTGCCCCCATAACTCGCATCCATCCCGTCTACATGCCGCGTCGCCTCCTCGAGCGTCTTCTGGTTATACGCGCGGCTCCCCGCTGGCCACAGCGCGGAGACGTGGCTCCCGAAGGACACGATCTGAAAGAGCGAGTCCTGGTGCGGGAGCGCGCGAAGGAGGACGACGAGCGCCTTGCGCGCAGCGGAGATGCGTTTGTTCGCCATGGAGCCGCTGCGGTCGACGAGGAGGATGAATTCCTGGCGCGCAAGGTCTGGGAGGGTGAAGCGAGGGACGAGGGTGAGCGCGAGGGCGGCGGTGTTGTGCGTCGGGTGCGGCTCGGCGACGCAGCGCGGGGCGTCGAGGCCGGCAGACTTCACAGTGAGAATGAAGTCCTTGGTGAGCGCGGAATCGGAGGAGAGAGAGACGCGGGCGTAGTTGGAGAACGGGAGCTCCTTGAAGTTGGGGAGAGCGGGATCGGGCCCGAGCTCAGTGGTGGTTGTGTGTGAGGGGGAGCTGATCTTGGCTATGGGAGCGACGGCCTCGACAGTCGCGTCTACGATCAAGAAGGGTGTCGACCTTGATGTGATGACTGAAGTAGAGGTGAACGGAGTCAGCGGCGGCGGCGCATTCCCATAGCGGGCCCCAATGTGGAAGGGTAAATGAAATCGAATCGAGTCATTCTCCTCGTCCTCAGCAAGCTCCGTGGCGTACACAAGCTCAATTTGGGCCTGCTCCCTCGGAGGAATATTCCCCACTGACACCTGAAATACTGTTGGACTTGATTAGAAGGCTGAAACAGAGGGACAAGATAGACTTACTATCCGGGGTCTGCTGCTCCATCAAAGAGGCTTGCTGTCCTTTCGCCACTGCGGTACCGTACGTCTTTCTGGCCTCCTGCTTTTCCAGAACCGAGCCGACGACCCTAGTGCCATTCTGCTTGATCATAACGAAGCCACAGACTGAAGCCCGAGCAGGGACTGGGAAGGAATATATAGCCTCAATGGGAAACGAGGCGTCATTGCCATAGGCCTGCGTGAGCTTTACTTGGGCTGCGAGCTCCTTGATACTTGCTTCTGCGCGAGCTCCAAGCAACGGGAGAGACATCACTTGATTACGGTGGGTGTAGCAGAGTCCGTACATTGGGCTTGCGACATGAGAGCTTCACAGCGAGGTTTATCTTATTGCGTGCATTTCAACTGCTGTCGCACAGCCCACGATAGTAAGTTGGGCATTTACTGATTGATTTTTTGGGAGTTCTGATTCAGGAAGCTCTGGTACCGTGTATTCTCCCCAAATGTCGTAAGGAAAGCTGTATTCAGGGTGCCAGTAACTCCAATTTCCGTGGAAGACTTCGCAAGGCCTAACCAAATCCCTGACGAGGATACGGAAGGTCAGTAGTTCTAGGAGTCACCAAAGGCACGGAAAAGAGAGCTTTTGCTGTCCAAAGGAAGTGGCGACGGAGAACAATGGGTGTGTGAATGAGACGAGTTGGATGTGCGCGAGGCGGCGCTCGAGGACAAACAGGTAGGCGGGCGGCGTGGTGTTAGTACGGATACGGACACGCGGACAGATTCTCGGGAGCATGCTGGTGGACGTGCGCAGAGAGGCAAGTTGCAGTGGTGGTTCGCGACGAAAGGGCCCGGGCCGAAACTTTGCAACAAACAAGTCAACACACCGAGCGGGCCGAGCACCCGCCTCCTTCACCCGAACCACAACGTCTCCAATTATCTTTGCGTACCGGGCTCCATATTCTTGCGTTGACCGACTTCAGCTTGAGAACATTGAATAGATTTGACGGGCCGGCTTGAACCCGTCAGCATTCGGTAAGAATAGCGCCGTCTGCGGTTTTTTGCTTGCTTATACCGGACTCGAGGAGTTTGTTCAAAGTCCACGAGGTTCGTAAGTGGTCCACGAGGTTCGTAAGGAGCAGTGCAATCGGATGTGGTGCAGGGTGCACGGCGAAACATTGTATGTCTTTAGGGACGGGTTATATTCGTAGGACGGGGTTCGACTCCCCGTGTCCGAATTACACGTCAGTTTGGGCATTTTTTCCTCGAAATTTTGTTTGCATTTTGGCTCACCACACTACATCCTCTAGAGCAGTTACCGATGGTCTAGCTTCTAGCGCGTACACCTTCTGGTACCTATCGTGAGACTCAGGCACGTTAAAATTAAAAAATGGTGCGAGTCCTGCACGAGCTCATTTATTCTGCCCTACAGGAGCAATATACATTGTATGTACCCCCGCGAGGCTCTCTGATTGAGACGGCATCTACGAACCCCGTACGCCTCGTAGAACGGAGCTCGACTCCCCGCGTTTGAGTACGAGTCCGGCGTCAATTTTGACGCCGCAGCGAAAAAAATATTCGAGTGCACAAAAGCAACTTTTACGGTGCGTTCATCTTTATGTCCATATAACTGCCTTCGTTTCCGCGTCACGATCGCTGCCCGGGGCTCGACTCCCGCGTCCGAATGATCTGGGTAAATCTGATCTTTACTTACCTCGCGAACAAACCTGGAAGTCATGCTCGCCAGGACCGAGCAAGTCACCAAGTCGACAGGTATTCCTTCTACCTCTACAAAATCTGTGCTTGGAGCATCAGACGTACAGCTCGCAGTACCGAGTTCGACTCCCCACGTCTGAATGGTCGGTAATTTTTTGCGCACCTTCCCTCCGTCTAATCGGCCTTTTCGCAGACCACCATCACTACACCGCGATGCAAACACCAAGAAAAATCAATGGCAGTCGAAAATTATTATTTCAAGCCCGGCGAGTTATAAGTTGTGTTCGCTTTGAATAATTTGTGGCCTTCAAATTCAACCTAATCTAGCTGGCGTGAGCACAGGAATGATACCTCAAGCACATTTCAAATTTTAGACTGTGAAACGGACAAGGCTTGAAGTCGTGTTTGGCATGACGGGAAATCAACAATCTAGAAGTATTCCATCTACATCTAATTTGAAATCAAGCTCATTTCCCGAGCCCTGTAGCAGGGATAAATGCATCGGACGTGGTTTACGGTACACCGCGAGACATATTTGTACCACCTCGTGAAGGAAAAGAGCTACACTCGCAGAACGGGTCGACTCCCCGCGTCCGAATGGACAATTAGCCAACAATCGGGCAATGAATTTTTTGGGCACCGGATCCCCTCCATCGAACCGATCTTTCCCAGTTCACCTTTCTGCAGTGCACCTGCACACAGATCATCCAACCTACATAGGTGCAGTACACCTATATCATATCAGTTTCGGTTCGAAGTCAACCTACTTATTTACCGAGCCCTTTATCAGGCAAATGCATTAGAAATGGTGTACGGTACACGGCGAGACGTTGTATGTTGTTGATAACGCATGATCTGCTGCACGGGGTTCAACTCCCCGCAACTGAATACTCCAAGAGCCTTTTGCGGACCATCCATTCGTCTAACCAATCTTTCCACAGTCCACCACCATCACCACACCGCAATGCAAACATGAAGAAGTTGCTGAACGACTTATGCTCGAGCTTTCTGTATTTTTTGGGGCTCTGTGTTGGCTCTGTGCCAGTTAGACGTGACTGTGTAGACACCAATTCTACTTTCTCGAAAGGAGGTTGGAAACTTTTCGACGAACCATCTTACGAGTCGGACTTCAAAGAGCAAACATCGTCATTGAGTTGAATTATGATTATGACGAGGGAAAATAACCGATGGAAAAAGGGTATCACCAAGTAGCACAGCAGCATACAAAGTTGCAAACGATTATGCCGGGAGTGTCTTGTTAAACCATTCGACTGCTTGTTTAAACGCTTGCTCAAAGCCCTCCTTGACTTCAGGGTATGCAAAGTTGGGGCGAGCTGCGAAGCCGTGAGCTGGGGAGTATTAGCATCATATCCCCTCTGCAGGTCGTGAATGCGTACCAGTGCCTAGAGGATCGTTGTGAATCGCGAATCATATGAAGAAGAACCGCATACCCTTGTACACCTTTATTTCATACTGCACAAAATCGGCTGTGCCTTTTCGCCCCGCATACAGAGCGGCAATCTCCTCCATCCTCGCGGGGTTGATTCCCATGTCGTCTAGGCAATGATTTAGAAGGATTCACAGCAGGGAGCAATGGCAGCGGTACCCTCCGCAGCGCACCATGCCGTCGGAGCCTAGCGGAGCGTCAGAGGGCTTATCATCTCACATAATGAGCACAGTTACTTTGATAGCTCTAAGCTGGGCATCGGTCGGGTTGGACGGATGTGCGAGGACGATACTCTGGAAAAGGTCGGTCGTCGCCCCAACGCGTGTTGCGATTCCGCCTCCGAAACAGTACCTAGACCAAGGGTCAGAAACGCAGGATAACAGCAGTGCTGCGACCTACCCAATTGCTCCGATTTTCTCGTACTTTTTCGTCTCTTGGAGTTTCTTGACGAACTAATAATCGTCCCGTTAATAATGATAGTTAAGGAGGCGAGAGAGAGCCTACTGAGACAACACGAGCTATAACTACGGAAGGACGGTTCCTGATCATGCCAGGAATACTTGGCAACGCGCCCCATATAAACTTTAGCGCGCCGAAGAACCCCAACTTCACACCAGCTCTTTCCGGTACCCCCTTTGGAGCACTCAGTAACGATAGAGTGAGGGTATCAAAGAAGCTTGAACAAGTACCTGCATCTGCTCGACCGTGAGAGGCGGCTGGCCTACTCAACTACATCATCATCTTCATTCGCATGTTGCAGACTCTCGAACGCACAGGCGAAGAGATCGGGGACCCATACATCGCAACCTAAATGTTGTGCAAAAGAATCGGCAAGAATTTTCGAGTTCTTGAGCCTGAGTCGGAAAGAATGGTTAAAGAGTGGTGAACGATACGACCAACGATAAGCAAAACGAACGGGAGGCCAAAGACATCCGTCAAAAGGACGATAGCGCGTTTTGTGTCACCGTTACCGGCCGCAAAATACGCGCCGTCCTGGGCATCTATTATAACGCCCGTAGGTTGACCCTCGAGAACAGCTCCTTTGAAGCAGTTTGGGCAGCTCATGGCAGAGGATAGAATATAATCAGTGGTGGCGAGCTTCCTTATAAGAAACCTCGGTAGAGTCCGGGACGATTTGACACGGCGTGTGCCATCCCGAGCAGCGTAATCTTGATGACGTGGCTAGATTCGGACCGCGGGCTGTCCAATAGCGGGGGGAACATGAAGTAAATGGATCGTTCGGCGGAGGCTCGGGTATAATCTAAGAACTGCATCAAGACGGAATGCATAATGCATATGGTCTTGCTAGTTGGTTCACCAACTGTCGAGCTTCGCAGTCGAGCTCCGCAGTCAATGCGTCAGTGGTCATATATAGAACGACGTTACGAGTGTCGTTGTCTGTCAAGAGAGACTAGTGGTCATAGTCATCGCGCCCCAAAACGTCCGGTCAGTCCCTTGCAGCAGCGAATTCCAAGGTAAGTTCAGGTCGGTGGCGGTTTGGAACGATAGCCGGGCCGGAGAATCAAGCGCCCAACAAACAAGTCAACATGCGAGCGGTCCGGGTAGCCGCCTTCCTCTCGCAAACCACAACGTCTCGAATTTCTCTTGCGTCGGCCCCTTGACGACCATGGCTTGAAAGCACTGAATAGGTATGGAATAGCGCCACGAGTCTGTGAATTTTTTGGGCTCACTTGCTCTGGAGCTCTCTGAGTCTGTCACGAGCAAAACAGTCGAACGTGGTGCACGGTGCGCCGCGAAACATTGTTGGCGGTTTGCCGGCGTACAACACAATTCGGACGAGAGATTCGACTCGCCGCGTCGAATTACGTTGCAAGTACGCCGGCGGCAAACGATGTGACAAGGGTTACGCCCCTCAAAAGCCACCACCATGGCGTTCCGCTCGCTCATATCCAAAATCGAGATCGAGCGCAAGTTCCTCCCGACGCGCCCTATCCTGCATGCCCTAACGCGGACCACCACGATCCCAATATCTCCCTCTATTTCCCGCGCCCGCCCAGCGGCCGTACACTTCATCCGCGACGTCTACTACGACCGCCACGACGGACGCCTCACCGCGGAAGGGTTGTGGGTGCGTCGGCGAAGCGTCGTCGGCGGCGGGAGCTCTTCGTCTTCTTGTATATGGGAAGCCAAAGTGCGCGTGGGCGGCGACTTCGTCGCGTCGCAATTCGTCGTGGCGATCGACCAGGTCGTCGAGACAACTGGTGGGGATTTTGTCGCCGCTTGCGTTGCGCTGGAACGGATGTCGGTTGAGCGGGACCGCGGCGGCGACAGTAACCTCACCAGCCCCATCTACCGCTCGCCCGACCTCTTCTTTCACGAGATCGGCGAGCTTGAGCTGATGGAGGAGGTCCGCACAGAGGCGGCGGCGCTCGGCGAAAACGGGGCGGAACAGGGAGCACAGGAACACGAGATGCGCCGGAAGTCGGTCGCAGGGGCGCGCGCCGCGCAGCTCGAGGTGTTCATGCGCGCGCACCCAGCGCTGTTCCCCATGACGCCGCGGCCGCGCGGCAAGCTGGTCGCGTATTTTGCCTGGAGGGAAGAGAGAGCGGCGGGGGTGCGTTGAGCGAGTGGAGACACTGCTGGCCGAGAAATATTCACCTTGGAAGTTCGGTGCACGGGGTCTTGCTTCGATCGAGTTCGTTCACTTACCCTTTGGTTGGGTGAGTTCTGCCACTGGCAGTGTTTGGGTCGAACATCAATGCATAAGTGCGTAGTGCTGAAAAGTAAAACAAGCCTTGTTTCTAAAGCTTGAAAGAAAACCCTCAATGAGCCAACGGAATCCAAGGTGTCCAAGGTGACTTCAACGAGAGCAGAAAGTGAAGAATGAAGATCTCGTTAGTTGAGGCACGAGAGTAGCGAGATCGCTGGCTTGCTAAGCATAGGGGCATCAAAGTAGTTATTCGTTTTTTGCTGCACTACCACTCGGACTGTAGTCAGTCCTGCCTCTACCTGGACATATCTGTCTCTTTTCTTGCTCCAAGGTGTCCAAGGTGACTTCAACGAGAGCAGAAAGTGAAGACCGGATTTAAGCGTTCGTTGAGTCATCGAGGAATA